CGAGTGTCCCTAATAATCGTCACATTACGGACTGGAGGTCAGACCGCCAGACAGTAATACTGTGTGCGCAAGGATGGTATCATCACAGGACATTGACAAGAAATTGGTTCTTTGGAAATTGTTTTCATCATATTAGTCTCTACTGAAGCAGTTATTAAATATATTCATCCCGCTAGAAACATACAGGATTAAATATGAGCTGGTACATAATACTGGTTGTTCCAAACACATTAGGATAATTTTCGTGATTTTTCTCAGATCAGGAAATTGGAGCTAATCTTTGCCTCAGCAAAACTAACTTTTCTCAAGAAACTTAACCTTTCTATTCCCTATCCTCCTTAATCTCCAAGTCAACACATCTATTTCGAGAGATAAAGTGATAGCACAACAGTTACCCCTGTATGTGTCTCTGCCTCTGGCGCTGTACTCCCACTTGCTGTATGAATGAGGAGCAGTCAAATATCTCAGTCTCCTGTCCCGGGGTGAGACCTCCAGGGGAGTGGCCTCCCTCAGCCTGCTCCAGTCCACTGTCCTGACTCCCACCGTGCATGGCCACATCGGACTCAATGGACTCCTGTCAAACAGATACAATCGATCTCATTTCTTGCATTGGACTTTTCATTTCCACCATAGATCAATAGTTGGTATCATTTTCATTTTCTCTCTTCTTTTTAAAGTTGAGGTAGGCTTCACTTATGATAGCATGATTTAAATCATCATTAATGGCAATCTCAAATATTCACAGACTTCCTAAATCCTAAAAGTTATTTAAAATTAAATATCAGTTGCATTAATTGAGGCATTTCCCAGTTTCTTTTATGCAACTATAAATGACCACTTACCAGGGAGGTGTTAGCAAGGTCCTCCTGTTTGACAAGCTCCTGACTAGCATCTTTGTCCTCCCCCTTATCTTCCTCACTGGCCTCTGGTTGATCTTCACCTGACTTCACCTTCCTCTGCCCTTGATCCTTGGGTCGTTCACCTCGCCTCCTGACCTTCTGTTGACTCTGGAGGGCCAGCTGGTGTGCCTGGTGTAGTATTCTCTGCTGCTGTTGGTGGTGTTTCCTGAGAATCCTCTGGGCCATTTGGTATGACATTTTCCCCTCATGGACCATCCGAGCCTCATCCTCAAAATCGGAACTTCCCTCACTGTCCTGACAAGTATGCTTCATGTGAACCAGTTTGGCTTCCTTTAGAAGTTCCTCATCTTCAGAGTCCTCTAGGTATTCTGAGTCATCTTCCTCCTCCTCTTCCTCTTCTTCCTCTGACGTATCATGGTGGTGTGCGTGGTGGTGGTTGCAGTGGTACTTGGCTACCGCCCGGCGGTGGGCCTGGAGCAATTGTTGGCGGTGCCTGCTATCAGCCACCTCTCCTTCCTCTAGTTCCTCATCCTCACTAGACTCGCTGCCATCAATCTCACTGTCACTCGCCTCACTATCACGCCGGGGATGGCGAATTGGATGACGATGAACATGCCTGTGGTCATCGGACTCACCACTGTGATCAAGTTCGCTGTCACCACTGTGACCATGTAGACCCTCAGAGTCCACATCGTCCATGTGTTTTTCATGCTGACTGTCTTTGACCTTCTGGATTTGGTCTTTACTCCTTGGCGTCTTTTTAGCGGGACTTCCTCTTTTCTGGGATTGTAATTTAGGCTGAAATTGTACAGAATGCAGAAAAATATATACATCAGTTATAGTTATTTCATCTCTTTTTCTGATCAAAATCAACTAAATCAATGTTCAGTATTGTATCAACATCAGGAGTTAGCTGGTAGACATACTCG